AGCAACTGGGGCACACTACTAAGAGATGTCAAAGTTTTGTCAGCCAGGAAGGGGGAGAAAAGCAAAAAACAAGTTGCTGAAGCATCAATCGGGAAAGGTTTTGTCACTAAGAAAGAGATTCAGTGAAAATAGGCCCTTCCAAAAGGGGTAGAAGAAGACTAAGCCTGGATAAGAGTGATTTAAGATGTTTTTGATTTTTAAATTTTTCTGTAATTGCATTTTTTTTTGACAATGATGACTATTAACAGCCTACTATGTAGCTATATTAATAAAATACTCTATAAGTTTTCCTGCGAAGTATGAAAATGAGCAAAGTATAAGACTAACACCCATGTACCTACTACCCATTAAACAAAAATTTAACACCATCATAATCAGCTTTAGATTGCTATAGTCTTTAAAAATACATAATACGGGCCAGCTGTAGTGTGGCTGAGGTGACTGGATCCCACATGGCTGACTGGATGGTTCAAGTTCTGGTCCTGGTGGCTTGAGAAACATGCCAGGCACGTGTGTATGTATACCCAAAATTCCAAGAGGGGAATGGAAGAGAAGGGATTGGGGCATGGCCAGCCCCTCTGGGGAATGCTTCTCTCTCTCTGTCTCTCTCTCTCTCTTTTCCCTCTCTCCCTCTCAGTGAGTGCATGTGCTTCATAGCAAATTTAAGGAAAAAAAAAAAAAAAAAAAAGAGAGAGGGTTGGCAGGTGGTGTGGTGGTTAAGGCACTGAACTCCCATATGGCCAACTACAATTCAAACCTTGGACCTGGTGGTGTGCTTTCTCACTCTCTCTCTCTCTCACTCTCTCTGGTAAATTAAATAATAATAATAATAGTAAGTAAAACACATATTTTTTAAAAAGAAAAGGAAATTTTAAATTTCCTTTTTATGGTATCTGTATCTTCTACTTCTGACTCTTCAACTGTAATTGTTAAATTTACCTTGAGAAAGAAAGTGAAAATGAAAGAGTAGTTCAAATATCATTTTGAGATCCCTCAATAGACATTAAAATAAGTAGGCAAACAGGCATGCCAGCAAACCTGATTGAATGAGAACTGTGGTGTGAAGACCCATCCTCCCTTTCTATTGTTCTTTCAGAAATAAACTTAAAAAAAAAATGATGGGCAAAAGTTTGAAGAAAAATGTGGTATTAGCATAGTCTCAAAGTATCTACCCTAAAAAATGTATTAAAAACACAGAGAAAAACTGTAACTTGACAGTGGAGAAAGCTGGTAAACACTGCCTTAACCAAGTGGGTGAGGCTCATATCACCAGTAATTGGACATGTTGATATCATGCCCTTGCTGATATGATGCTCTGAGCAGAGCATAAAGTCACTTCTGTGCTTTTCTTGCCAAAAAATGCACCACTTCATTCTAATTATGAGAAAACAACAAGTGAATCCAAACTAAGACATTCTACAAAATAACTGGCTGGTGCTCTTTAAGCATTAGGGTCATGACAGATAAAGAAATACCAAGGAGTTGTCACAGATCAGAGGGCCATGACAACTAAACCCAGTGGAGGATCCTGAGCTTGATTCTGGCACACAGAAGACATTAAGACATAAGTGGGGGAAAAAAATTAGTGAAATATATATAAGGCCTAGAGTCTAACAGTATTGTGTGTCAATGTTAATTTCCTGGTTTTGATCACTGTACCGTAGAAAGTGAAATGTCAATATTAAAGAAAATTGGGTGAAGAGTATATAGAAACTGAGCTATAAGGGTTATTTACAGATTATACATAGACTCTCTTAGATGACTGAGAAAAATAGCTCAGCAAAAGACATGAACAGGGGCCAGCAGGAGCCATGGTAGTTAAGGTACTAGATTCCTACATGGCTGACCACTGCTCATATCCTGGTTCTGGCAGTTTGCTTTCTCATTCTCCTTCTCTCTGTCTCTCTCCAGTCAATGGAATAATAATAATAAACAAATAAAATCTAAAATTTATTTATTTATTTATTTTTAATTTTGGAGAGGTTTTTGCTATAGGGCATGTGAGCTCGCCAGAAAGACAGAGAGAGACAGAAAGCAACAAATCACCTCCTGGGAGGATGGCCACGCTGCAATCCCTTCTCCTTCATTCTCCTCTCGGGATCTTGGGCACACATGCACACGTGCCCGGCATGAGTTTAAGCCACTGGGTTTGGGATTTGAACCACAGTCGATTACATGGGAGTCCAGTAACATAGCCATTATGCCAACTGCTGGTCCCAATAAAAAATTCTTAAAAAAAGAGACATGAACAGCATTTCCCAGGATAGAAAACCATCAATGAACATATTTAAGCAAATTTCAGTTGAACCATAGATATAATTCAAAAAATTATTATTTTAACTTTTATTTATAATTATTTTTAAAGAATTAGTTTTAAAATTTTATTTATCATTACTATTATTTTTTTAATTTGTCACAGGGTACATGCACTTACCAGAGAAAGGCAGAGAGAGACAGAGTGAGAGAGGGAGAGGGAGGGAGGAAAAATGAGAAAGGAAGCCACCAGGTCTGGGACTCAAACCATGGTTGGTCATGTGGGAATTCAGTGCCTTAACTACCACACTACTTGCTGGCCCCATTACTAAGATGCTTTAATTTGCTATAGGGCATGTGTGCTCGAGAGAGAGAGAGAGAGAGAGAGAGAGAGAGAGAGCGCACGCAAGTGAGCGAGCTGCCAGGTCAGGACTCGAACCATGATCGGCAATGTGGGAGCCCTGAACCTTAGCCACCATGCCCCCTGATGGCCTCCCATAATATAAAATTAAAAGTCTGATAACACCAAATATTAGCATGGATGGGGAACAACAGGAACTCTTTTATACTGTTGGTAGAAGCATAATTGGTGCAACCACTTTAGAAAATAATTTGACATCAAATATCATATGACCAGGAAATTTTATTCCTAGGTATACACCCTAGAGAAACCTTTGAACATGAACATAGAGACAAACAATAAAAATCACAACAGTTTGCTTACTTATTTATTTTTAAAATTCACTATAGGGCACATGTGCTTGCCAACGAGACATACAGAGAGAGAAAGAAAGAAGGAGAAAGAAGGAAAGTGAGAAAGCACCCCATCAATGGTATGGCCATGCTGCAATCCCTTCTCCATTTTCCCCTCAGGACTTTGGGTGAGCACCCATGCACATGTGACTGTCATGTTTTTTAAGCCGTTGGGCCTGGGACTCAAATCACACAGTTGGCCTTGTTGGATCCAATGCCTTAACTACCATACCACTGGCTGGCCCCACACAACAGCTTGTTTATAACAATGAAATAAGATAAATTATTCAAAAGCATGCCAGTAAACATAGGGATAAATTCTATATACATTCTTATAGTGTACTATATTCATACAACAGAGTATTGGACAGCAGTAATAATGAAAGAACCACAGCTACATGCATCATATGAATAAAGTGCAACATGTTGAATGAAAAGGTTAAGTCATAGAAAAATGTATATAATGGGACCAGCAGTTAGCGTAATGGCTATGTCGCTGGATTCCCATGTAGTCGACTGCGGTTTGAGTCCCGGACCTGGTGGCTTAAACTCATGCTGGGCACGTGTGCGTGCGTGCCCAAGATCCCCAGAGGAGAAAGGAGGAGAAGGGACTGAGATGGCCATTCTGTCTCTCTGTCTTTCTGGTGAGCGCACACGCCCTATAGCAAAAACCTCTCCAAAAAAAAAAAAAAATGTATATAGTAAGGAGCCACTTACATGAAGCTTAAACATCAGTAAAACTCAAGACTATATTATTTAAAAACAAACACATGGGACCGGTAGATGGCATAACGGTTACATCACTGGATTCCAACATGGCTCACTGTGGTTTGTGTCCTGGACCTAGGAGCTTGAAACTCATCCTGCCGTGTGTGTATGCATGCCTAAAATCCTGAGAGGAGAATGGAAGAGAAGGGACTGTGGTGTGGCCATGCCCCTTGGGGAGTGATTTCTTGCTGTCTCTCTGTCTCTCCAGCAAGTGCACATGCCCTATAGCAAAAATCTCTCTCTTAAAAATAAATAAATAAATAACAAAATCATAAAGAAAGGTGACTGATGACTTAAAATTTAGGAATCTGGGTTCTCAGGGGTCAAAAAGGATGTGACAGTCGTAACATTCCTGTACAGTCTGGGTGTACGTTCATATTGTTTGTGCAAATCTGTTCTGGTTATAGAAGATACTGGATACTTTTCTTTGAATATAGTTAATGTTGAAGAGTATAAAAAAAAAAAAAGGCAGGCAGGCAGGCAAAACACCTAAAATTTTCTGATTGTAATCTCATATCCTTAATGAGTCCAAATTACTAGCCTTTTTGGAATTTTCAAACCCTAAAATGAAAGGAACGATCTGAAGGTAATAAATTGGAAAGGGTCAGATGAGTTTTTAAGGTGCTGATCTGAAAACATTTCATGATTTGCTTGTATCTGTCCACTACAAGCTTCTACTATGAGCAAGATCTCCTAAACATTTGAAGTTTTTGAGTTGCACCAATCCTTGACATTTTAAGAATTCTTATTTCTTAAACAAAAACATTTATCTAGCCTGAGTGATTTTTGTTCATTTTTGAACTACTTAGCTTAATTTGCCTCTGTTATTGTTGCTAGGATTTACAGCAATTTATAATTGCCTGTACTTTTAAATAGTTTTTAATAAAGGTTAAAATTATCACATAAGGGAACCAGCAGTTAGCGTAATGGCTATGTTGCTGGACTCCCAAGTAGTCGACCGTGGTTCGTGTCCCGGACCCGGTGGCTTAAAACTCACGCTGGGCGCGTGTGTGTGCGTGCCCAAGATCCCGAGAGGAGAATGGAGGAGAAGGGATTGCAGCGTGACCATCCCCCCTGGGGGGTGATTTCTCGCTTTCTGTCTCTATGTCTCTCTCTGTCTGTCTGGCGAGCGCACGTGCCCTACAGTGAAAATCTCTCAAAAAAAAAAAATTATCACATAAAACACATACAACTAACTGCACAGCCCAGAGAGAGGGTTCACTCACCAGCTGAAACTCGCTCCTCCGGCTGAATGCTTCCCTGATTCCAGAATCCCTCCAGAGAGCACTCAGAGCGGGGACATACAGCTGAAAGGTGGCAGGCTCCACAGGCAGCCCTGCTTTGTTCTCAAAGGCCATCAAGAACATCCCATGCTTCTCATTTTCAGAATACTGCCACGGAATGCCAAGCTTGTCTCGTGCATCAACAAGAACCCTTGAGCCCTAAGAAATAAAAAGAAATGAAAAAGTATTTAATTGTGCCCCAAAGACTATGTCATGACAGAGAACCTCAATAACGGCATCAAATATCATAAAGTAGAAAATTCATATGCTATCAAATTTGCCACCAGAATTTGGCCCTTGGTTTGTTTTGTCATGATATAAATATCTTAACTTGTAGGGACACAACTTTATCAAGACAGATTGCATACATACCGTAGAGATAGGTTTACCTTTTGTTATCACTCATCGGAAAAGCTACTGGAAAGGAAACAACTGAATGGCGGCAAGAAATGGCAACAAACTCAGCAAAATTTATTGAAAACTGAACCAATCAGTAAAAAGGCAATGTTTGAAAGACTACAACAGCAACTACAGGTTGAATAGTCCTAATCTATATGTCCAAAATCCAAAATGCTATAACATTTGAAACCTTTTGAGTGCTGACAAGACACAAGTGAACAATTCCATATCTGACCTCATGGGACGGGTTGTAGTCAAAAGGCTACGATGCAAATTATTGCATACAAGTACCTTTAGGCTATATGTATAAGGTACATATAAAATATAAATGAGTTTTGTTTTTGGACTTGGGTCCCATCCCCAAGATATCTGTGCAAATATCCACCACCACCACCACCCTGGAAAAAAAAAAAAAAAAAAAAAAAACCTTAAATCAGACACACTTCTGGTCCCAAGCATTTTCGATAAGGGATACTCAATCGGTACTACTATTATTACTATTTGTACTACTACTGTAATCATCACTGAAATCTGGCAACTCCTTAGTACCAGAAGGATACAACTGTAGTTGCAACTTATACAACACAGGCAGTCAGTAGTCATGAGACAGGAAAAAACTAAAATATGACACGAGAAATGTAGCCTGCCCATTGACACACAAGCTGGGAATCATGTTCTAGATTTAATACCACCATTGTTTGTGATGATAAAAAAAGTACTTCTCATTCTCTCACTTATTTCCTTACTGCTAAAAATAAAGTTAGTATTTTCTGCCCTTTTCTCACCACATGAACAGGGGCAAGTGGATGGAGAAACTGTCTAAACTAAAATAGAACTAGGGCATCCAGTCTGTGGAAAATACTACATCTCAACAAAAACTGCCTCACTGTGCAGTAAGTAGGTCTATTTCATTATCTGTAGATTAGTGTTTCAAAATTAGCATGACAGTGTCTCCGAAAGTTCCTGAGTTTTTCTGAAATGATGTACTGAAGATACTCATGTAGGATGAGTGCTGGGGTGAGTGCAGAGTACCAAAAGGCCCTAAAAAGGCAGTAAAGTGTGTATCTTTCCATCTGGAAAAGTCCTTCCCATCTCAGAGCAGCCTGAAAGGACTCAGAACAGACTGTCCTCTAGTACAAAGAACACCAGGACCACTGCTCCACACTTGGCACTTAATTTCCTTTTTTTCTTTGAATTAATAGCTATAATGTGATATAATTTACATACCATACAATCATACAATTGAATGTACAACTCAATGGTTTTAGTTGTCACTTATTTCAGAAAATTTCATTTCTTTCTCTTTTTTTTTGGAGAGGATTTTGCCATAGGGCACGTGTGCTCGCCAGAGAGAGACAGAGAGACAGAAAGTGAGAAATCACCCCCCCGGGGGGATGGTCACACCGCAATCCCTTCTCCTCCATTCTCCTCTTGGGATCTTGGGCACGCATGCACACGCACCCAGTGTGAGTTTTAAGCCACTGGGTCCGGGACGCAAACCGCGGTCGACTACATGGGAGTCCAGCGACATAACCATTACGCTAACTGCTGGTCCCTCTTTTTTTTTTTTTAAAGAGGTTTTTGCTATAGGGCACTTGCACTCGCCAGAAAGAGAAAGACAGAGAGACAGAAGCCAGAAATCACCCCCCGGGGGGATGGCCAAGCTGCAATCCCTTCTCCTCCATTCTCCTCTTGGGATCTTCGGCACACACACACATGTGCCCAGTGTGAGTTTAAGCCACCAGGTCCGTGACTCAAACCGCGGTCAACTACATGTGAGTTCAGTGACATAGCCATTATGCTAACTGCTGGTCCCCAGAAAGTTTCATTTCTAACACCTGGGCAGAATAGATGAATCAATTCTTGCCTTCTTCCTACCTCTGCTGCATCATCAGTTTGGTTCCTATAATTCCTGCTTTTGCTTCGAACCCCAGATTCAAATGTAAGGATGACCAAAAAGAGTAACTGCAACCTCTCCTTCCCATTCATCTCACCATAACTGTCTGATTAGAGATGTGACTCACAAGTGGGCTCATCTGGCTGCCATCAGTGAACATGACCAGTACTATTGATCAACAAGCTTTTGTTCAAGGCTTACTTAGGCAGAGCACCAAGCCAGACACAATGGGAAAAATGAACTGTTTCTGAAGCAGTGTGTGATCTCCAAAAACCCAGAATCTGGCAAAGGAGACAGACTTATAGATAAAAAAGTTGAACGTTCATTCTTGATTTAAAAAACTCAGCAAAGTAGAAATAGAGAACTTCCTCAACTTGATAAAGAACAACCAACAAAAACTGGACAGCTAACATCATAATTAATGATGGAAGACTGAATGTTCTCTCTTAAAGACCGAGAATAAGACAAAGATGTCCACTTTTACCCCTCTATTCAACATGGCCCTAGAAGTTCAAGACAGTATGAAATGGTTAAAAAAAAAAAAAAAGACCAGAGAGAAAACACACACACACACACACACACACACACACACACACACACAACTAAAACTATTTGCATATGAAATAATGGTATATATAGAAAATCCCAAGGAACCTACAAAACCCAAACCCAAACCAAACAAAAACCAAACCCACCCCCCTCACACACACACAATCCCCCCCCAGAATAAATAAATGAATTCAGCAAGGTTGCAGGATATAAAATCAACACACAAAGGTCAATTGTATTTATATATACTAGCTATGAATATACAGAAACTAAAATTAAAAGTGTGATACTATTAACAATCACTAAAGAAAACATAAATCTAACAAAAGATGTATATGGGACTTGTATATTAAAACTACATGTTGATGAAAGAAATCAAAGAAGAGCTGATAAATGGAGAGATAGACTATGTTCATGAATTGGAAGACTCAACATAGCAACACTATCAATTCTCCCTAAATTGATAAATAGGTTTAACACAATTTATATAAAATCCCAGCAAGATCTTTTGTGGCTATATATATGATTATTCTAAAATTTAAATGGAAAAACAGATTAGCTAAGTGAGTTTGAAAAAGGAAAGTTAAGTAGGAGGAATCACTCTGCCTGATTTCAAAACTTACATAGCTATAGTAATCAAGTTTAGTTTATGCAGGACTGATAAAGTGGAGACATTAGATTAATGAACATAATTGAGAACCCAGAGATAGCCCCAGATGGCTAACTAATTTTTTTTTTTTTTGGAGAGGTTTTTGCTATAGGGTGCGTGTGCTCGCCAGACAGACGGAGAGAGACAGAAAGATAGAAAGTGAGAAATCACCTCCCAGGGGGGATGGCCACGCCGCAATCCCTTCTCCTCCATTCTCCTCTCGGGATCCTGGGCACGCACGCACATGCGCCCGGCGTGAGTTTAAACCACTGGGTCTGGGACTCGAACCGTGGTCGACTACATGGGAGTCCAGCGACATAGCCATTACGCTAACTGCTGGTCCCGCTAACTAATTTTTGTAAAGGTGCCAAAGCAATTGGAGGAAGAATCACCTTTTCAACAAACGGTTTTTGAAGAATTAAACATCCATGAGCAAAGAAAACAAAACAAAACAGAAAGGTCTTTGACCTAAAACTCACAGCTTACACAAAATTAACTCACCATGTAAAACTGTAACATAAGAAATACCTTCAGAACCTTAGTGCAGGTTCTCAGACATAATTCCAAATGCATAGTTCACATAGAAAAATATCATTTAATGACTTGAATGAAACAAAAAACTTGTGCTCTGAAAGAGCCTCTTAAGAATTTAAAAAGACAAGGAATGGACTGGGAGAAAACATTCAGCAACCATATACCTGACAAAGGACTCATTTAGAAAATATAACAGACACTCAAAGCTTAATAGTTAAAGCAAATGATCCAGTTACGAAATGGGCAAAAGACATGAGATATTTTTACCAGTGAACAGATATGGATAATATCTGTTCAAGATCATTAGCCATTGGGGAAAAGCAGATCAAGAACTCAATGAGATATCATTCACCTATTAAAAGTACTAAAATAAAACAATGACAATATCAAGTCATGTTGAGGAAGCAGAGAAACTATTAGGTTGTCCGGAAAGTCATGACATATTTTTCTATACAAAAATGCGCCATGACTTTCCAGATGACCCAATAGATCTCTCATACACTGCTGGTGGGAATGTTCAATGTACAACCACTCAAAAGTATTCAGCAGTTCCTCAAAAAATGGAACATATAATTACCATGTAACTCGACCATCGCATTTCTAGGCATTTATCTCAGAGACATGAAAACTGATGTCCACACAAAAATCTGCATAGGAGTGTTCACAGGAGCTTTATTCACAATAGTCAAAAAACAGAAACAAACTGTGGTGCACTCATCCCATAGAGGACTACTCAGAAATAGAAAGGAAAGAAATACTGACCTATGGATGGATCTCAAGGATGGTATGCTAAATGGAAAAGAAGATTTCAAAAAGTCAAATACTATGTGATTTCATTTACATACCATTCTCAAAATAATAAAATCACAGGGATAGAAAACAGATTGGTAGTGGCCAGTGGCAAGTAATAGGAAAGAAAAGAGGTGACTAGAAAGAGATGGCATGAGGAACTTTGTGGTCTCAATTGTGGTGATGGTTACACAAATCTACACGGGTGATGAGAGGGCACAGAACCACATGCATGTTGTACCAAGGTCAATTTCTGGCTTTGATATTACACTATAATTATGTAATTCAAAACTTCCGGGGAAAACTGGGTTACACCTCTCTTTACCATCTTTGCAACTTCCT